AAAAAAAAAGTTTTTTTTTTCGAGGGGAAAACGGGGGGGGGGGGGGGGTTTGGCTTGCAAGGTTTAGTAGCTAACGCTACTTCTTTATCTGCAGCTCACCGAGCAATGTTTTCGAAAGATTACCGTTTGGGCGGAAAAGTTTTGTTGCTGGAAATGGAAACGGGAAAGTTTGAAACGTGGCCGTCGACCGGCTTGGTGTTGCCATCAATAAACTTTGGATTAGACTCATTGTTTTCAGTCGTGTTTTGATACCAGTTAGGCTACTTAATCTTGACATTTGCAATAACATTCAAACTAGTAAAAGTTGCCTTGTGAAAAGACGTCAGGCGTTGTGCAGATGTTTGTAATAAAAACAATTGCTAAAGTAATGCGTGAAAGCATATTTGGAAAGGAAGAAGTGGAACCACCTCATCAAATCATAGTCCTGTAACATTAACCGTGTATTTTAAGTGAATAAAACGCCTAATATAACGACAAGGCTGCAGTGACAAACTGTTCAGCAAGGTATTACATGAACTGCTTCTATATGCATGTAAAACTAGGTATTAGTTTAACGGGATACTACCGCAACAATGTACTTATCTAGATATTAAAACAGCCTTATATGCGTTATGCCGTAGCCCATTTGGAGTAGATCAACCTGGTTTGTTTGCAGACAAGCGTTTCGGCAGAGGTCAATAATACAGTCCGTTAAAAGGTAGCCTGCAAGAAGCAAGGAAAAGAAAATAACATTGTTTTACAATCAGTAACAGGTTTGGATCACCAACATCGACATATCATATGTTCGCCAGGGGTGGTTGTTTCATTCGTCCGTCTTATACATGTATTTAGTTTTTACTATCGTGTATCGTATAGCCTACACTCCAGCGGACTGCTCTTGAGCGTTTGCGTAGAATTTTATATATATATATATATATATATATATATATACGAACAACAATAAATATGTTTGTAATCCGTTTGAATGAACCTATAGGTCACTTTGCGCGAGTGATCGGTCAAGTCTCCACCAAAAGGCTGGGGTTTCGCCCAATATACTGCCTGCAAGCAGGTTACTATAGAGGCATTGCCGTCGGTTTATCCTAAACCGGACTTTTCGCGAGTGATATTAAACGTTTTGATGTCTTGAGCAGATTAGCCTGCTCTCTTTTTCCAGCGATCTAGCTGAGATTAAAACTGCGTCATTATATGGCAGCACTGCTCGTGTTCATCTCCGTATAATTTTGGATTCATTTCAGCAGTGATCCGCATCTATCGAGACTATTCTGCTTCTGTTTTGTTTCTGTAGGTCGGCAGAATGCCGGATAAGGACACTGATTTGCCTAGGAATCTAGGGACATTATAGCCGCTAAGACTGGCTTATTCGGATTTACCCGATCGGACTGTTTCTTTGATCAAGTTGGGTCATTGTGGATGATGGATGGCCGAGACTTCGGACCCCCCAGATCTGTGCACGTACCGCCGCCCCTTCTCTCGGGGCTGCCCATGGAGTCACACCGGCTCAGCGCGGCGGCTGCGGCCGGCAGAGTGCCACCGTCTCCCGGTCATCTGGGCGCGGGGCACCCGGCGGCTCTACACACTGGAAAATATCTCTCATCGGCCATGAACCTACATTCTCACCACAGTAAGTGCAGATTTGCTTATTTTTCCTCATTTCAGCAAAAGCATAAAAAAAACCACAAGTCACTTTTTAAACTTTTTAGCGTTTTGTAAACGATCTGCAGTGCTGGTCAGATCTTCACATGTTATATCGCTTGGTACGTCTTTACGGAAACATGGGGAGGAATGAATGATGTTTAAAAGTGTTAATAATGATTTAATACTAATGTTTAAGTTTATGCTGGAGGCATATGTGCGCGAATGCTCCTATAATATACGTGTAATTATTCGTCTTGTACGATTCACAAAACAGGACTCGCATTCGGTTACAGATAAACACAAACATATTCACATTGGCGTTCAGAGCTACTCGTAAACATTTATGGGGGCAGTTGTTTTTAAAAGCAGTGCAGTATCAGCGCTCAAATCACCCGTACAATTCTTCTCTCCTCGCTCGCAAATAACACTAAAGAAAAATGCTAAAACCGTGGAAAGCAATGCGTGTTGGCGCAAGGTGAATTATTCAGCCGTTTGAGTAAAACACTAGGTGTCTTTTGGGCGAAAGACCTAATGTTTTAACTAGCATCCAATGAAAATCGACAATATAGATTCATGACTGAAATTGCACCATTTGTTTTCCATCACTCCCCCTCTCAGGCTGGGGCAAACACTACAATTATTGCTCTTTCCGAGTGAACTATTGCCTTCCCTGTCACTCAGTTAAGTCACAGTGTCTGACCCTTGTGTTTAGAAATGCTCTTTAAAAGTCTACACCGCATATTAAAGGAAATTATGTTTGCTGAGATACTACATTTCGTTCTGTAAATGGTATGTTGTTATTTAGATGCATATGCTGTATGGTCGTATGCTTTAGTTATAATATTTTTTTAGTAGGCCTAGTTGTTGTTTTTATTAAGAAACATAGATCTGTATGTTGTGGTCATTATAAGGTGACTAACGTGTTGCACAAATTATTTTTGTTGAAAATATAATGAAAATGTCACACTTAATGACCCCCTCTCAGGAAAAATCCACTCATTTGTGCTGCGTATAGGCATTGGGGCATTTTTTTTTTACTGTGTTTAATTGGATGCTGATAAGAACATTGTGTTGTGATGTCTTAAAGACTGCAAAAAAAAAGCTTTATTGTGAGGATATTGAGTTCAGAGAAAGAACTGTTGGTGTATTATGTGCTTCTACAACTAATAGATTTGAGGTTCTATTTACTGTCTCAGTCAATTATTGCGAAATCGTGGTTTCTGTCATGTGCAGTAATTGAAATGAATGTTGCAGCTTATGTTGCTAAAATAACGCAGTAGTAGTTGTTTATTGTAATAGTTGTTGAAAATTCTAAAATGTAAGTCTTCATTAAACAAATGACTGCCAAACAGAGTTAATGATGCTGTGTAGCATAGCTGTCTTGTGTCCTGGGGCTGAACTCAATGCAAGTTATTTGTAACAAATGTAGAACAAACCACCATCTACATCAAAGTTTATCATGAATGACAACAGTGCTTGGATTGTTTGTGGGAAAAAAATCTGTGATTTTTCCAGTGTTGTAACCTATATTAAAAAGTGATTCGGTGTTATATCACTGGTATTTTGTTCATCTTTTTATTTAGTGAATAATGAAGTTCTTGACTTTTCCCTTTTCAGATAGATGTAACATTCTGCAGATGTCAAAGAGAGCCTTTAGATCTCTAAAGAAAGGAGATTTTACTTTGTTTAGGGGTGTGTAGATCTCAGCAGTTTACTATGCATATTTCCAATCTACCTGAGAGAGCTTTTCTAGTCACCCTCACCCTAACCTTCAACTACCATGACATTTTTACACTGTGTTATTTGATGAATTATACTGATAAGTTTTGTGTAGTGTAATAAATTGTCACTGCATTTGATAGCACCTTACCCTTATTGGATGATTACCTTTCAGAGATGATTGTTTTATTATTGCCTAGAGCTTTGAGTCATCTAGTTCTTTAAATAATTAAAAAATGCATTCTGTGTTGTGTGTGTGTGTGTGCGCGCGCGCATTCACGTCTATCTTTATCTAGCAATTTCTTGGGTACAGGAATCAATAGAAACAAGACCTTCAAAGGGCATGTGGCGCTCTTTGCTCATGAGTCCAAATATGTGCTTTTATTATTTTGATCTGTCAATATGTTTGCCAAAACATTTTTTCGTGGCACTAACCTACCACACAGTGTCCTTGTAATTCTGTAAGAAATTTTATTTTGACAACATTACATAAATGCATTTATTTTAAAATGTGCTCCTTGCAAGTGGTCAGCACACTGACTTCTCATTGAAGTGTTTGTATTTAATGACTTTTTTCATATATGGGCTTCATGCGTAGTTGTAATGAGTGGCGGATACATCATATGTTTATGGGATGACTCAGTTTCCTGGGAACTGCCTGAACATTCAATTCTTTCCAATAATAACTGATCAATAGCCAAATTTCCTGTCTTTGAATGAGAAAACGGATTTCTTTCTCTTGTTTTGCCGGTTCACCAGATTCTATGGAATGTTGTTTTTGTGACTGGATACATTAGTTACTGAGTTTTTGGAAGAGTTAAGGGCACCATGTAAGTGCACTGTAACTTGAATTTGATCACCGTTCAGTATGGGGCACAATGTTGGGAAGTGAGCTTTTTAAATAATATTTTCAGTCACTTTGTACACAGACATGTTGAAGTTGTAAAGGAAGGCTGCTTTTGAACCCCAGTCTCTGTGCCAGATAACAAGGGAGGGTGGCTTCTGGTTTGTTGGATTTAAACCAAGTCACATGGTGAGAGACTTGAGGGGCATGTGAGCAAAACCTCATGCCTGAAATTTCATGTGGAGTATATGAAAATGTAATTGGAGTCTTGAATGTAGTGTACATGGCCTTTTATATGTGGGGTGGAAAGAAAGCAATCTCAGTTTGTGCCATATGTGTGCTTCCCAGCAGATTCAGAACTGTTCTGGTTTTCACCCAGCTGTTCGTCATACTGTATTACTTGCCACTGTTTGATACTGTAAGGCTTTGTAGAAATGTCCAGAAAAAAGAATAACCGCAGTAGTTGTGGAGAGGATAGAACCGTGAATAAATGAGTGATTTAGGTCGTAATATTGCTTGTCTCTTGAACTGAAGGAGAGTAGATGTTTGAGCAAGCTAAATGAAGTGTAAGTGTGGCTCTGTTTTGGGAAAGGGGTGGGCGTACCTTTTGGAGTTTTTGCACCAGCTTGTGAAGCAAACATGTACAACATTGAACACTCGTTCCAAAAATTTCACGCATGAATCCAACTCACCAGATGGCTGTTATTCTTGGATTTCAAAGTGACAACATTCTGTTCCTTAACTTTAATGCTTTGCTGTTATTGAAAGCCTTTTACTGAAATGTGGTTGCAGAGCATTTCTTATAGGAAGTGCTTTTTTCCCGCCACAGGACTTATCTGTAATTTGCCTTAATGGCAACCATTTTTCTGAAATCTGACAAGGGTTGCACACATTTGTTTATGAACTGTAAATCATCATCATGTTAATAGAACTACAGGGATTGGAGTTTTGTTTTAACTTCCAATATATGGTTAAGGTTTCTGTCTGCCCTTTATGTAACTGGTGTTATTTTTTTGTATTTACTTAAATGCAAAATGTTGTATTTGATGCTCATTTTTGTTTTTAAGCAGAGGCATGTTTTCCTTTGGGTAATGGCTTTCTCATTTGAACTGTTTAGATTCTTAGAACTTCTTACGTTTTACCTCATTTGCTTCTAAAGATCAACTGATTCAAATATGTTTTGAACACCTCTTGATATTTGCAGTGCAACACTTTAAAACCTGTAAAGACCTGTAAACATGGCAGAAATTATATGAATCATCAAGAGTTTTTGGGCATGTGGTAGAGGATGCTGAGAGCTTAAAGAGATGGTTTGAGAAACATAACCTGCCCATCTGCTGGTCTTCACATTTAACACCGAACATCCCACTGAAAAGGAATATGCTGTTATGCATAATACTTTGCTGCATCTCTATAACATTATTTTATATAATACCATTTATATGTCAGTGTAGGTAAAGCGATGGATCTATTTGGATATACTCCCCTTCCGTGGTACTATAGTTTAGGGACAGTAGAATTAACATGGTTTTTCTGTTGCTGGGAAGGAGGATGAAGGAGAACAAGCTTAAATTGTGTAATGCTCAGTGTCTGTGTAATGGCTGACATGTTTGGAGATTTTTAAAGGATATTAATCTGAAGATTATATGGCTTCCTGAACCTCAGAGAATGATTCACCAAGTTCGTTTTGACCTGCATTTTCTGGTTGATGGTTTTTCCTTTTCTCATTGTCCTTGAGTCAGTGATTGTCTATTGTTCAGACTGAACAAGCATCCATTATTTTTTACTTCCTTGTCTTATGTCAGTAATACTAGCCTTAGTAATTGTAATAGCCTTACTAATAGGGGGACGTTAATGTTTGTTGAACATGCTGAAACGTAATGCACGAAACGTGCCTTTCTACTCCACAGCCCACTCGTTTAACAGGGTTCCTGTGCATCATGGGAAAATGCAAATCTTCGCTTGATATGCCTTTGAAGTGCGCTGCCTTTTGGAATGTACGATTGATCAATTTTCATATGGTGCATCAGAGAATCCCGGGTTTGCAGCCCTGCTGGGGGTTTATGGGCTGTTTTTAATAGAGGACCCTGGTGTTTGGCCTCAAGATACGAATGACTGCCTCCACATGGTTCACTCCCCTCTAAATTTTGGGGTTTGTTTTATTGATTCCATTTGAGCACCCTCTTTTTGGTAAAACTCCAAATGGGAGCTCGGTTTGATGTGAATTTTTCTATTTTTGAAGAACTGTCTTTCTTGTTGTTACAGCAGCTTGCGGGTATACAGAGCCGTTTCTGTTGTTACGTTTGTTATTTCAGCCTTTTCAATTTAATAAGCTGTGTATTATACAGTCGTTTTGATGGCTTTTCCAGAAATGGCTGTGCTGCCTTAATCAGGAAGGGAACAAGCCCTCATTTATAACCTGA